TTGAGTGAGGTCAAAGAATTGTAACATATAAGGTTCGGGGAGGTCATAGTTTCGATGTGAATCTGTAAAAGATAAGAATATTAAATATCGACAAAATTATTGTGAAGGTTAAAATTTTAGTTTACACGGGTGATACGATTAAGTTTCATTGTATATCCTAACTAATAATTCGGTGTCGTGGCTTTCAATAAGCAAATCAGCATCATAATAAAAATATTTTTTAGTTATTACGTTCATCCGTATTATTATTTTTATTACATTTATTAAAATATTATAGTCTTAAAATGACTTTGGAATGTATCCAAAATCGGCTTTAACAATTTATTAGTTGCCACTATGCACTTGACACTTGGCAGAATTATTATAATCATCCGTGCTTTTACTGCATATCCAAAAATATTATTTTTTATACATTCTCCGGCATTGTCCTATGTGGTAGTATCGGTAAAACGCAGCCTCACAACCATAGGATAGCTAAAATAATTTCAAATGCTCACGAAAAATAACGTAAAAATATTAAAACCATCAAATTATAAACTATGTTATGTCAAATAAAGTGTAAAAAATTGTTTTAAAATTATACTTTTCCAAATAGGTAAACATTTTTTTTAGTGTTGCCAAAATGTTGTCCCAGAGTTAATTAAAATTTAAAAAATGTTAAAAAAAGTTGTTATTTTCCAAATTGTTGGACGGGTTAAAATAAAGTTTTTTGATCAAATGTTTACAGTAATTAGTCATTCTCGGAACAAGATATCGTTGAAAAATCTACGTATAGTTTATTTTTTGTTGTGTGCAGTTTTGAATATAATATGTATAGAAATATTTTACGGTTCACGTCCTTGGAAAGAAGAATTCCGTAAATGCCGTCGCCGGCGGTCCCGTTAATAATAATATGCATATAGAACTTAAAACTAGACTTGCATAAAAAAAACTTGGTCATCATATTATTTATTCTTTTAATAAAATGCTGCTCCGTCGAATGGTTGATGGAAAAATTCTGTTCGAGCGTTACGGAAAACATTAAGGCGACGAAAAAATATGCACTTTATATTGTTAGAACCAACTGTTTTTCTCGCAGCTTTTGTATTTCATACTGCGATAGTTTTTAGTTTTGTAAATAAAAAGAAACAATTTTCAACGCTACTACCATTCGACTAGTCCTGGGTGGAACAGCTCAATAGTTATGGGAAACATACTTAGATGCGTTGACTTGATGTGTAAATAAAAAATTATCATTCTCAACACCGATTATTTGAAATTAATTTGCTTTATTTTTAGTATATATATATATATATATATATATATATATATATATATATATATATATATTTGTTTTGTGTTATTTTTAATATAGAAAGGGGTAATCGATTTTTCTTTAAAAATTGCCCTTTTGTTATCAAAGTTGAAGGTTATATCAGCATTATTTATAAGTTATGATACAAATTTTGTGAACATTTAATTTAAAAAAATTCAAAAATTTTTTCTTTTAAGTATTCTTTATCATTTTTGTTAAAAATATTATTATTAATGGAAAGTTAAATTGTATTTAATGTTATTGGTATTAATATTGTTTCTTAATTATTTTAGAAAGCATTTTCTAGCTATCCCTTTTGATGCTTACCATTATATTATGCAGTAATAATACAGTAGAAGAATATTTTAGAAGAAATTTACAAAAGAGTATTAGAGTTTCCAGGGGAGGTAACATTTTTTCACCGACGTATGCCTTATTTTGATAATATATCATTGATATAGTGTAATAATATATTATACAGATAGGTCAGCTTATTGTTGAAGATGACAGCGCCTAACATGCATAAAATAGAGATGAGTAGGTGGTAAGCAGGTACACCTTCTTTTTGGATTTTATCCTTCTTGAATAGGCGCTGGCATTTTCAACAATATTTAATAAATATTGGATAAAATGGGCATTCCAGAGGAAATCAACAGAACAATTTCCAAAAGTATTTTTGCACAATTTTGTCTGTTCGAAGTGCACATTTGTGTGTTTAGCACATAATTTATACTTATTATTATAATTATTGATGAATTACAGTAGCACTATCTTTACACTTTCAGTTGTAATTGTATGACATTTTAAGATTAAATAAGAAAAATAATAATTGTTGTTGGCATCACACGGTTGATATAATACAGGTTTAAAATCTATAAATATAGGTGCAATTAACGCCACATAAACCGTTTTGTTGAATTTATAATTGGCTAACAGTGTTTACTGTTTTGATTTTTGTAATGACCTAGACGTATGAAGTATATGTACGTACTTGAAGGTACTTAACAATTTGTTTACTTGTGAATTAATCTTCTACGGATATACTTAAGTTGTATTTGGATGACATTGATAATTAACATAATAGCAGAAAAAAAAATCTCATAATTATCATTAATCTAGTAGAGTCAAGTAAAATTAACTAATTTTTTAAAAAATTAATACTTTAATTCAGTCTGATTAATTTAATTATAAAATCAATTACATATTGATGAAAATTTAAATTACACCACTGTTTCATAAAACTAGGTATTATTTTATAAAATTTTGTTTTGCAATTATAATTATAAACATAAAGCATTGTGATTGAAGGTGATAATCGAAGCGACTTGTTGGATAATATTTTTGCCTCAACCTTGCGGAAATTATAACACATTATCACAATATTTTAATGGTTAATATTAGTATAATATTTATTGGAAATATTTAAAAATTAAAATATTAGGTATTTTAAGTTATTTTTTCTTTATTATCAATAATATTTTTTTTTTCAAAAAAAAAGGACAATAACCATTTGCTGTCATGTTTATTTTATGTAGTTTTTTTTATTATTTGAATAAATATCGAATTCTTTCGAGAATATTTTGCCTACTCCAAATCGAATCTTAAGTATTCATATATAATAATAAAGGTATGTTTTCGGTCGGAATCGTTATTTATGATGTTACAACAGAGTATTGCATTGTGAGACAGAACTTTTAGATTTCAAGTTACCTACTTAAGGTAAAGTTTATCAGAAAGAAAGAAGAGGAGGGGAAAAACCAGTGAAGCACATCAAAATCACATTTGCAACCACAATAAAAACCTTATACAATTATTATTGTAACTTTTTATTTCCCTTATTATTTTTTTAAATAAAATTATGACTGTTTATTTTTATGTAAAAAAAAAATAATAATAATAACGAAAAATATTGTTTTTTTTTTGTCGTTTATTGTAATTGTTTTTTCTGAGTACTGGCTTAGATGAAAAAAGCTATTTATCAACTAGTGCAAATTATGTACACTAGATATGTTTTTAAAAATAGTTCGGACGAATTTTAAAGATCTCAGAACTTCGCCCAAATGCAAATAAATTTAAAAAATCCACTCAAAATTTCTCAAAATGCTACAAATTTACCTTTTCTATGAAACCTTCTCTCGCGAAACTGCACTCTTAGTGTCAAATAGGTTATTTATTGTTTTGGTTTGACGAATGATCTTACTATTAAAAAAACTAGTCATCAACACCCCAAGGGGTTAATTTAAAAATATCCATGTATATAAATAAATGTAGATTAAAAATAACTGTACCATGTTTTTACTACGTTTGCTGCAGTTTAATTATTGGATACTTAGAAAATATCCAACACTTCACAGTTAAATGCTACTTATAAAATACTTATTATATTTTTTATAATGTGGAAGGTACTTAGTAGTATGATTTAACAAGCTTTTGTTGTTAAATGTCAATGACTTTGCAAATCATTAGTCCTAGGAATTCTTCTTAAGCAATGTCTACTTCTCTTGAACGTACTTCTATTCACATTAGTTTTTACATTCTTATCCGGACGTTTTAGTGATAGTAAAAATGTATTAAACGGTATTTAATAATATCATGAAGATGTTGTGGCAATATTCTTCATATAAATATTTTCACAATATTAAAAATACATAGGTGTACCACATATCAATATTTTTAATTTGTAATATTTGTTTAGCGACTTTGATTAGGAAAAAGAAATAATTAACATTACATAAACGACAGGTCTTCATTAAAAATGAATACATCCATAGTAAACTATAAAATATTTTCTTGTTGAAATGCTTTAGAGAAAAATATTCAATAAACCGTTAGTATTACGAATAATATTGCCTTAAAATAATTTCAAATTATTAAATTTAATTTAAAAAAAATTATTCATACAAATTTTGTAGCGCTCGTGACGTCAACAATTATGAGGGGGAAAAAATGTTAGAATCATATACTTTTCGAAATGTACAGGTAATATACCTCAAGAATAATAATTTGAGTGAGCTGTAAACGTAATGGAAGGTCAAATCGAGACACAGCATGAATACTACTCATTAGCATTGGAACGGACTACACGTTGGACTAATACGAACGTTAGAAAGAATCAAATGTTATCTTATGTGGTACTTCGATGTTTAAAAAACAATTATGCAAGTTTGCGTTTTGTTATAGTGTGATGTTTTCTTGTTGATTAGTGCGTGTGATTTTACTGAGATTAGTATTTGATTCTGTTTAAACGCTTTTAACAAGACATCATTCGAATTGAAAACTATTTAATACTCATCTACCATTTTGCGGATCGCGCAGTTAAAATCGCACAGTAATTTATATATGACTACCGTGACCTTCTCAATATTTCTCTATGTTGCGTTGTTTTATTTTTTATTATTATTTGAAAGCATTAATAAAATATTTTCATTTTTCAATTGATTAGTATGGGAAGTTGTCGTATAAATCTAGAAATATCTAAAATGAACCCAACCCGTTCGCATTGACCCGGGTCGAAGTACAGTAATATTACATAATATTGTGTTACGTTGTTTCGATAATCTTGAGAGCAATATTATGGCGACGTTTTATTTGAGGCAGTCTAATAAATAGGGTACTAAATAGAAAACATATAAACAAACAAATGACTTGAAACATATTTTCTTAATATAATATATTGATAACTTCTTATATTCGTTTTACAGACCAATGTCGATAGACATTACAACTAGAAAATAGTATATTATGTATAATAATAATATGTACAATCTGTGTACGACAATAGAATAATACTATAATATAAGTACTTCGTAGTGTATAATTATAATAATATAGTGCAGAACGGACATGTGGTAGGGGAAATATACAATTATATTATTATTGGTTGGTTTTAATCGACTATAAGATACTTATATATTTTTTTTCTTTCTTTTTGACACGGGCGCTTACACACATAATAAAAGTAATAATAATAATGTAGTATTATTCATAATTTAATAATAATAAGTATATTTATGTCTAAGTCACTTATACATAATAATGTAATCGTAGCCGAAATAATATATTTAAAACAAATATGGCGCGGTGAACACAAAATCATCGCGTGTGTACAATGGGAAAATAATGTTATTTGTTAAAAATATGTTTAGAATTATTACGCTTCGTGAACCGTTCACTATAATTAACAGTGAGTATCGCGTTACAAATTTTTGATAATTTTTTCTTTTACTATTTTATTTAAACGGACAAGAGCAATGCTATAGATAAAAAAATTAATGAATACATAATAATAACATATTGAACAGAAACAAGAGCCATGAACTGTAAGGCTAATTAAGGCTTTTCTCTAGTTTATATTATAACTTAAGCGTAAAGTCAAGTTAGGTCGGCCGATTTGTTTTTTTTTGTCCAATTCGTTAGGTTCTGGCGGTAATTTTGTGAACTGGATAGCAAACATATTTTATTCTATTCTGCTGTAGAAAGGGCCTGCGCAGACACCCCAAAGCGTTACTCTTATCTTTTTTATAGTTATTTTTTTTTTATTCGAAACACTAGGGTACATTATTTTCAAAATGTCTAAAACGTTTAAAAAAATTCTGTAAGCGACATTTGTACTAAAATAAATTTGGAAAATACAATATTCAATTATATTGTGGCGCGGTTATTTGATTAACTGGATAGGGAACATTTTAGACTCGCAGTTTATGAGTTAGAGGACAAAATACTCAAAACAAATGTCTAAGCTCATAAAACGGGCAACCATATACCTCAAATAAATGGCCGGCTGACGAACTGAACTATATTGAACTTGTGCGAAGACAAATTTTGCAATTCCATTATTATAATACCGGTACACAATTTTGAGATAGGAGACCGAATGAAACTATGCTCACAGTCTTGGGTAAATTGCAAGTAGCAGCCTTAATAAAAAAAAAAAACAAATCAAAATGTTATAATAACAAACAATGTATAGACCTTTCACCGCACACAGTGCGACGCACAACCCGAACACACATTGTACACACATTGATAATATATATTATGTATATTATACAGATATTATATTATGCATGTATAATTTTTATAAAAATATTTTCATTCGCATGATCGATGCGGTCGTTGTGCGCATCATTGTTTTTGCCGATAAAAATACATAATAATGTAATGTGTTTTACCGTTTGCATGGAACATAATCAATTATTCGAGTCTAAATGAATTTTTTTTCACCCCTCTTGTTTAGATGATATATTTACATTGCTCGTCTGTAGATATATACATATATATTTTTTTTTTGCTACAGTCTGCAATGTGATGGGGGATTCGCCATACACTGCCGGTTAACTCGGCAAACAGACGTCGAGCCGGGAGAAAAGATTGATTTGTTATATCAATTCTCGATTGTCTCGTCACGCTCGTTGCCCAAATCTAACGGTATTTCCTGTACTTCCGTTCCGTCAATGCAGAAAAATAAATAAACAACTGTAATTCCAAACGAAAAAAAAAACAATACAATCAATCGAGTCCAGGTAAAACAAAACAAAAAAAAAGTACATAAACATACGGTGGCGGATATAATAATTGAAAAAAACAAAACAGAAATGCAAATAAAAATTGCATTCCAAACTGTCTTTTCGTGCGGTATTTTTTAAGTCGTTTGAGACGTTATTAATACTAAAACGTCACGCACAACGTCTATTAGCATACGTAAAAGTTAAATGTAGTAAATCATAGTTTGCGAAAAATCGTAAGACGGTTAAAAAAGTATTTAGTGATATTGTTCGGTGTTTAGTAAAGGGGCCCACGAGGTGAGTTATTTTTGTAAATTTAAAATGGTGATTATAAAAATTGTATATTCTTAAAGCAAACGACAAACATTTTAATTTTCAACACATGTATCACTTGAAAATATTTGGAATTTGGTCGAGTGTAAATTTGTTCAGTCACATTTTATTTTTATCCGAAATAGTTTATTTGTTTATTGTTATATTATAACGGGGAATGTAATTTGATAGGAAATCGTGACATTAATTTACAAAAAGTATTAGGTACATAAAAGTAATATGATCAATAAATAGATCGTTTATTATTTTATTACACACTTTTTCAGTTTGGTCAGGAAACAGTCGGGTTGTTGAATAAATAACCGTATTTATATTGTTCTTAAATATTATTGGAAATACTATAGTTATTCGCTCAACTGTACTAATACGAGTAAAACTTAACCGGAAGGTTAACAGCAACGTCAATAGTCTTGCATACCATTTCCAGATTGTTTATAGGTTTCAATGCCAGTGAACGTTGTTCATTTCGGTCTATGTATATCAAAATCGAAAATACGCGTATCTACCTTATTTGAGAAACCGTTTACAGTGTTTTCCACTTTTGTTTTCAATTTTTATATTTCTTCTTTGGTCTATTACTATTATTATGGATTCCCTACACGGACTTATTGAAAGATTGTTTTTTTGCAATCACGCATATCTTTATTTTATATCTTAAAAAAAATTAAAAAATAAACATCTAACCGTTTGAAACGTTTCTCGGCTTCTTTAATTTTTGGATAGAACTATCGGGTTTGTTGTAAATATTTAACCTTATCTTAGGTAACCAAATATTTTGGCAAGGGAAATGGGTTCGCCAGCTCGGAAAAAGGTACCGCTATTATCCATAAACAAGTGCTGTTCCTACAAATCAAAGGTTATCGACCACTTAAGAGGACGTTATACACCCAATTTTCTATGCCTAAGCAAAATACGCATTACTCGTTCCGTAATGATTTTTGTGCAAAAATACTTATAACAAAAACGAAAGATAACAAGATTTTGGAAACAATGTCATATACTTTTTTTGACGATCCTTACATTAACATTTAAAATCACTTTTTTTACTTAACATAACTATAACTTTTTTTTACGTTATTATTTTTTTAACAGTTTATCGGTTAAATTAAGATTTTGCAAAAAAATGTCCTATACCAAACTCCTTAATAAATAGAGGGTATAACGTAATCATAAATATTTCTGATTTTGTGTTTAACAATTGCCATTGAATGTATTTCGACTTCATCAGTCATCACTCACCAGTAGAGGACCGCCAATCCAGAGGACTTTCGTTCTTCGAGTGATCGTGTATTAGCCGCTTAAATTAATAATCAATTATCACAATAGCCAAGAACAAAGATGATTAAATTTCTAACCAATGGTCGAATCAATGTAACGTTATGCTAAGTTAAAAAACGTAGGTTCGATTCGTTTTTTTTTTCTGAAGATTTTAGACATTAAATAAATTATTATTACACGGGTCTAACTATTGTAACGCTAACGGAAAAGTACCGGGTAATCCATTGACAATCAAAACTCACACAATTATTATACCCGTTAATCTATTTATATTTTGGAATAATCTATTCTGTTGTTATGTACACCATGCGGGATTTATAGTTTCCTGGCTGGCGGCGGCCACGATTGCCGTTTACTGTGGTTCCGATACTTGCACATCAGCACCCGTTTGAAAGCCTGCCGGAAAACTTTGTTGAAAATGGTATAGAAAACCGGGTTGACCATGGAACTGGCGTATCCCAACCAGGTGACCAGGTCGAAGATGCCCTTGTTGATATTGGCCTCGCACTCGGGACAGATCGACGGCAACAGATTGAGCGCGAAAAACGGCGTCCAGAGGAACACGAACGTGAAGAACACCACGCCCAACACTTTGGTGGCCTTTTGCTCGAGCCGGATGATCCTGCCGTGCCGGTACGAGTTCCTGATCATCACGCTCGACCGGCTCGCGTTATCTGACCGCTGCGGCGTGATGGGCCTGGACGACGACGAATTGGCAGGTAGGCCCAGAGTGGACCCGTACCGCATCAGCTGTGACTGCCGTTTGGAAGCCGCGGACGCCGGCGTCTTCTTCCGGATCAGCTTTTGTGTCATGGCCCGCCGCAGCGGTTGGTTGGTGCTAGCCACCGTCGTCCGGGCCGAGTTGCTCGACGGTGTCCATCTGGCCACCGTGTCGACAACTAAACGCCGTTGGGGCGCCGGCGCCGGCGGCGAATCGTCGCCGGTGGCGGACCGGTGGCGACGTGGCGGCGGCGGCAGCAGACATATTTCCTCGTCCAGTCCAGGCTTACGTTGAAATTCGGCCTTGAGCAGAGTGCCCACGATTTTCGGCCCGTTTTCCAAATCGCCGCCGGACTGCTCGGGTCCGGAATGGTCAAAGCGGTCTCGGAACTCGTCTTCGTGATAACTTCTTACTCGGACAGGCCTGCTGTGTGGTTGACCGTCGAACCGCCGACGCATTGACTCGTGCAGCGTACCGGATCGTTTTCGTCGACGCCGTCGTTGGCGTTTGGCGCGGCGATTGCGCGGAGTCCCAGTTTCTTCAGAGTCGACGGACTCAACGACTTCGTTTTGATAAGGTTCCGAATAGTCGACACTGTCGTCGACGTCCTCGTCACTTCTTATGGATGACAACCTGTGGACAATAAACGTTTTAAATGACCAATTACAAAAAAAAAAAATTCACTAAGCGGACTTATTAACTCCCTAATTTTTGGTATAAAACCCAGCTAAGTTATTTACTAATTACTAATAATAACTTAATTGATAAATTATTGTCATATTTGTCTGTATTAAGTTGTCTGTTGTAAAGTTTTAAACGGTTGGAAATATTCAGAAAAAAATAGATTTTGTTTATATTGGTTTTTTTATACTTTTAATAGCTTCATATTTTTTTTTTTTTAACATACTTTTTAGGTACTATTTTTTTATTAATTCAGTAAAACATTTTTGAAATATTGTATCATAAAAAACAACTCTTCGATTTACGTCGTGTAATTTTGTTAAGTGCTACCAAAATTTTAAGATTCTATAATCACCATAGACAGAATACGACAGCTGTTAAAAATAATAGTTAATATAATAATGAAAATAAAAACTCGAAAATGTATTGTAAAAAGACCCTTTTGTAGCCTAATCAAAAAATCAACTTCTCCTCATTAGTGCACTAATATAAATAATTAAATACATTAAATTAATAAAATGAATGCTTAAAATTTAAATTCGGTCAGAAATGTCCTTTATGAACCCCTTAGTAATTCAAAAAATATGTTAAGTATGGTAAAGTATAGTAACTCTGTTTCTAATAGTTGTATAAAAATGTTCAGATGTACTTTTACTTTTAAACCCACTCAGTTTTTCGGAAAAGTTCATCTTCCGTGTTATGTTTTTGTATAAATTAGTATTGTGAACGAGTTTTACTTCTGAGATGTTTTGTTATTTTAAAATAGAAAAAAAAGACTTAAAAAATATTACCTCTAATACCTAAAAAGAATATAAGTAAAATATTCAGAAAAATTATTATTTTTTTTTATAAACATATTCTCCTGATAGCAACATATGCAAATATATGACAATGCGATGGTAATGTTTTATTTTAACAATAAAGTTTGTAAAACTGTATAATTTATTGTTGTTAAAGCGTTCTAAACGACAGACCATTGGGCATATGTCCGGGTTTGATCCACTGTTTGGCCTATATGAGATATGAAACCGTAAGTTTGTGTAAACTTGTATTATTTTTCTCTTCTCAAGTATTTGGAGACCAATGTTTCGCCTGACTTCACAACATACGTTCCATAATATTTAACAAAGTTTCGGTTTTCTACATATGTTAACAGTGGTTTGCCAGATAAAAACAGAATAACTTTTTAATCAAAATTGGCCATTATTCGTTAAAAAAAAAAAAAAAATTGAATAAAATGTTCTCTTTTATATCACTTGAAACGTTATTCGATTTGTTTTCGTTGTTATTCGTTACTTTGTTAAAGTATTTGTTCTGGAAATTTCGCGTTTATATTATTACTCTTCTTTGCAATACTGTTGATAATTGTTGTTATGGAAAATTAAATAAGTCATTTCACTGTAGCTTCCGCAACGTGTTCCCATACCAAATGGTTTTTCCAAAACAAAATCAAGTTGTGAACAAATGTTTTACTTTTATCTACACGTTACACATTCTTTTCGTTAAACGAAGTATGTTTTCCCATAAGATCATTATTATTTATTGAAACCATATTAAACCGATGATGACTGATCTGACTGATCTCGGGGGAAGCATTCCGAAATTGTTAATAAAAATCGAATTTCGTTGATTAAATTAAAAAAAATAATTAAGTGTATTTGTTGTTAAATAATTCATGCGCTCAAAACTCTACTTTTTTTTTTGGTATGAATTATCGCAAGAAAAGTTTTACGTGACGTGAGTATAACTTTAAAATTAAATCAGCTCCTTTGTGAACGCCAAACTGTCAACACTAGTAGTATTATAATAATTACTTAACTTTTGCTCTTTTGATTACACACGAAATTATTCATACTACCCACTCGCCGAGCCGTACCAGTAAATCAAATCAACTGCGAATAAAATATTTAAGACTTTCGGATAAATTAAAAACGGCGTGTTGATCTTTAAGTAGAAATCGAGTGGCTAATTAATCGAAATTAAACGTCAACATGAACCCGACTCGTTAAGGTCGTTCTACGCCGAGAGTTAAGTAATCGAAAACATCTAACGTTAAATTTCCAAAATAGTCTCCACGGCGCTACCATTTCTATATAGTTGGGTGGCAATTGGAATCTGTTGAACACATCCATACTATATGAGAACTTCTGTAAATAATGTTTAACTTTATGGTCTTTTAGGTTGAATGGTTGAGTTATAATTTACCGCTATTCTACAGTTTTTTATTTTTAGTTTTTTTATTAGGAATTCCAAACAACATGAATTTATTTGAAAATCGAGTACGAGTGATATACGTTTACCTCTTGAAATCGAAATTATTTAAAACGGTAGGATTTACGTTTAGAGGTAAAAAGGGGAAAAACGTGCTTATTGTTTTAAAAGTAGTCTGAAAAAGTTTACGGGACCGAAGTTTTAATAAATGCGCAAGTGTTGTAATTTATTATCGAATTAGTCGACATTTTTTCCCCCGAGAGATTCTTTAATAATAGATTATTTCTCAGATTTCAAATAACAGAAACCGGTATCCTTAAAAATAAAAAAATAATGAATAACTGATTTTTTAATAAACGTGGTAACCTTTGAAAGTGACAATTTGTATCTTTTGTATGGTTTACTATCCTAATAGCCAATAGGGGATGCTTACATTATCTTTCTAATCAATTCGCATTTTTATCACCATTCTTATCACTTTTCAGCTGATTTCCCTTATTTCTTTTCATTAATCGTAATTTTTATCACAACCGAATCTCTTATTAGTTTGTTACTTTTATTTCTCCTAATTAATCACTGTTCAAATAACTAGTCAATCTCTTAAGAGCAGATTTCTCCTTAATCCCCATTTTATTTCGTTTTCATGTCGATTTTTTAATAGGTGCCATAGAAAAAATACATTCTATGATAAAATGTTTCAATATTTTAAAGTACTTTTACTGTTTTGCTAGTTTTGAAATAATAATAACAATACTTTTTATTGGCCATCCGAGAATAACATTTTGAAAATAAGTATATAATAAATTAAAGATAGTAAATCCCCTAGAGAATCCTTTATCGTATCTCTAATAGTATATATTTTACTAATTATGACAATCGACTTGATCTAATATTTATAATTGGAAATTAATTCCCATCATACGGTCAACATTTTTTAGTTTAATTACCTGGATCTGTCGGGAGACGTGGGCTTCGATTCGGGAGACGCAACTTGCTCTAGGCCCCTGGACAGGCGTAGCATTTCGGCGCCGAACTGGTGTAAGGCTGACATGGTAGACGGTGTAGGTTCTGAGTCGGGCAGCCAAAGTTCACGGGCGTCCAACGACGTCATTTCGGTGTCGGTCGACCCCATGGACGGGTGGTGTCTGAACGGCGTGCTCATGCAGCTCGAGTTGGGCGTCTGCTGATTGGTCTTGATCGGGCTGCGGCCCACATCGCGACCGTCGTCCTGCTGTTGTCCGACCGATCTCGAGCCAGCCGTCCCGTTGCCTGCGTGGGCCCTCGCCACCAGTGGTGTGTCTGTCGGCTTCTTGTCCAATTCCACGGGACAAACGGCCGTGGACAACACTCCGCTGACCGTCAACCGGACGTCCGACTCGTCCGACCGCGTCCGTCGGTAGTTCCGCCGCAGTATCCGACGCCAACTCCTCCCACCGTTGCTATCTATACACAAGTACCAGTATGCTTAATAAATTAAATACAAATCTCATCAGATGGATATGACAAGGTTAGGCAGAATAAGGAATGAGCATAAAATGAGAGCAGAGTTTGTGAGTTCCACTAATAGCAGTTAAGTTGAGAGAAAACTGATTGAGTTGGTTTGTGCGTGTTGAATAAATAGCAAAGAAAGTGAAATCGCATTATATATAAAAAAACCAAAGTATGCTTATAGAAATGCTTATAAACCAATGGAAAACGGCTAATGTTAAAGACTCGATATGTTTTTGAGACAAATATCTTAACACTCACGTGCTTACAAGTGGATATAAAAAAAATAAACAACAAACATACAATTGAAATAGTAATGTCATTTTAACTTCCAACATTTGATTTCCTGTCAAAATATATGAGCTAAATACATTTTCACTGTAAAAATTATAATAAAATGATATTGTTGATGCGTAGGTACGGCGGAATTAAAAAAAAGGCAATTATGTATATTTTATAAATTTAATTAATAATTATGACATTTTCCAACACTTTTACCTCGAACATATTCTGTTTTGTCATTTGATTTTCGGATGCGTGACCCACCAAAAATCCACATATTATGCAGGATGATTGATCAGCATGTACACATTTTTTATGGCTCTATATTATGCTTTTATTACAGACAAAAATAAAATAACTTTTTCTTATACCGAAAAAGTCAACTTAACGCCTCTCGTTGTACGTAGCAGATAAATTATTATGTTTGTTTTTAATCAGTCTAAGCTATTAACTAGACTATATAATAGTTAAAACTCAAACTACAATAGATTTCGATAATAGTTTTTTATTACACAAAAATGAAGGTCCATAATAAATCTGATAAACGTAAAGTTGTAAATGTTTTATGACTTCGAGTTCTGGTGGGTCGTTTATGGAAATTTTATACGATTTCTGTAACTTAAAAACGTACAAAGTATTTTTATATCAGAGGAATAAAAAAAACAAGACTGCGCACAAAACGTATAACAATAAATTATGTGAACGATCATTTGGTAACAGTTTACGGAAGACAAATTAAAATTAATAAAATATCTCATTGCTATGAGAGTTTTACAAAAGCGAGTATTAATATATTATAACATTCTTTTAATATGCCTGACGGTTATTTAATATTTATTAATCGTATAAAAGCCAAGTAGGATTATTGCTTTAATAATGTTTTTGGTGTATACAAAAAAAAAACAAACTTTTTAACATTTTAAAATGTTACTCGCCCTTTTATTTTCGTTAAACGGAGAGATAAATGAAGATTACAGTGATATTTTTCTCATTCGTCTAACCATCTTCAGAGTACCTACTCTAAGAATATTCGATGAATTAATTTTTTTCTTAAATTAATAACCAAATGAATACCTGTGCACCTTCAGCGTGTATTCATCTCATTTTCGGCTAGCCGATCGTAACTCTCAACGTTACTCTATCCTTTGTTATTTCTTTTTGCGCTCTACAATTTATTTCCACATATTTATGACATTCATCCACTTCCGCTTTGGTTGGTCAGTACCTCTAAATCTGTCTTGCCCGTTTCGTTATTTTTTTTTATTACTCCAAACCGTCTGAATCGGTTCTCTCTCATTGTTCCTGCTATTAAGGCAACTTCCAAAATTCCTCATTTATACTCATTCTCTAATTTATCCATCTCAACATTCTCATTTCGACCAATTTTTTTTACACCTTTAAACCTTTTTTTCTTGCACAATGGATTCCATATAATTACCAGTCTCCTCTTATTGTTAGTTTATCACTTACTCTCCGAATATAGCTATTTGCTATTAGTTATATGTGCTTTTCAGCACATATTCTTTAATTATGTCATCGCCTTGTCGATACCTTCGTAAGACTACTAAACTCACTGGTAATTTTTGCCGTTACACAAATCATCTTATTATTTTTTAAATTAGTCCTGTTGCATTGTTTTCATCGTTATTGCCTACAATACCTCTGTAGGTGGCCTGTTACCTTTATGACGCTATTTTGATCTAGTTTGCGAGGAACAACCGCAGCAAAAGCAAAATTAAATACTACACACTTGACTGTTATACAGTTATTGCGTTTTGTAACACTAAAAGTCGAAAAACCTTTGAAATCAAAAGGAATACAAACTGAATACAAATTGTCGCGTCGTTTGCCCCTCATTGTTGTCGGTTGACGTTAAACAATGTTATTATTATTATTATTATGGTTATGATGATTAATGTTAAAAGCAAACCGACTGGCTTTTAAAGAGAAATAAAATTAAAACGACCTCGTTGGTTTTTTTTTTAACGTCAAAGCGAGCAGGTAGGCACCGACATCAATAATAATTTTTTATTTTTTATTGTACGGCTATTACGGTTTCGTGTTTTCGAGTGATTTCCAACGGCTGTTTAAACGAACGGTTCAAAATAACGAAATTAGATACATAAATCGCTTTGTCCGAATGGTTCACCGTAAAAGCAACGGCTTTTGGCTTTGTTATAACAGTAGTCTCCCGGAAAATTGCAACGTCCCGTAATAAAACTCTCATAATCCTCGTTACCGCCGTTTTAATTCCCACACTCCCTTCTTGTAAGTCGTTTTGGGCAATGCAAACCACACGGTCATTGGTTCTTTACGACGCCTAAATTCACGGGCTCCGCTTTTTAAGGACACGAAAAAAAAGTGTGCAATTTTTAACATTATTTTTCCATTATCACAATGTGTACATAGGTGGTGGACACCCGAGCTTTCGACCCGTTGTAAAAAAATAATAATAACAAAAAGACCCACGCGATTTCCGAGAAATTCAAATGACCATATTTGCGTTTCGTACGAATTTGCCGTGCATTAGCATAATAATGGCACAACAACGACAATGCTTATATGAAAACCGGAATAAATACCAATTCCGTCGATATAGTATAATATCTACCAAGCTCGGGCGAATAAGAAAATATTTAGTTTTTGCGTTTTTTTAAATAAATACATTATATAACCTACCAAGGCTGGGCAAAATATATAGTTTTTAAATTTATTAGCTTATAAATTAAGCCTAGTCGAAATGAAATGTTTTTATAAAGTTGTCAATAATGCCTAATGGTTAAAAAAACGTTTCTCCGTTTTACAAAAAATATTGCTAAAACTTTTTGGGAACAATATTTATACTCGCACGTTTCAAAAGTATCTTCGGAGGGCAATCATAACTAGTTAAGTATTATTTTATCAAAACTCGTGTTTAATTGTTTTAGATAAGATCATTACATTACATTTAAATATTATTTTTGCTCACTAGACGCCTCAAATGTAATGCATAATTTAAAAAAAAACTGTATTTAATTTTGTACATATTTGAAAATATGGCACAAAATATTTTATAATTCAATCTTGATGACGTCTCATATACGAGATTTGTTTGAGTTTAATACCTACCATACTTTTAGCTGAGTTTAAAGAGTTTCATATTTTATGTTGTATAATACGTTATACTTTGTACTTTAACTAAGTAAAAAAATAATAATAACAACTCCATATGATTTTTATTCAAAAAGTTATGCTTCTAACAGTAAATTTTAAAAAATGGTCCCATATGGAAAATGAAAAACTTTAATGCTCGTTTATCATAAGTCACTAAACATAATATGTTAGGCAAAACATTTTACTTTTCTGACACAAAATTAGTGTGGGTAAGAATAAAATATTGTAGTTATATAATATTATAAAATATAACACACTTACTTCTGTTGGAATTTCTCGTAATCCCCGTCTGCAGGTTTTGTCGTTTGGCCGCCAAATGTCGGACTGTTAACGTATAAGTAAGTATCATTACCAGTAGAGGTATGTAAAAACTGATAATGGATCCGATGAGCTTATACAGAGGATCGGGTATTTGACAGGATCCATTTACTAACACCGAGTTGAAGTCCTGGAAAAAAAAATTACCAATATATCAACAAACCGTAAGTTTACTGCACCTTTTGTTTTTTGTAGGTGATTAATAACTAAAATCATTACATTATGTCTACGGTTTTTTTCTTGTTAAAAATCTCTCATTATCACTTGTTATGGGATAACTACCGAATTTTTTTCAATTCCTGCCAAAACCTTATTTAAAAATATTAACAAACTCTCGACAACGTTAATTAAAACATTAATACTGTTTTTTACTCTATGGGATATGATATAAAAATATTGTCATTATTATTATAAAATATAATATTTTTCAACGAAATATTATTGCTCTCTTTTTTTTATTTTTCGAATTTCAATTAACAGCATTTGGTTTCATTTGTGAGTTCTTTAGAAATGGAGTTGAATGTTGTTGATATGAAAATACAACAGTAAACAGTTGATATTACTTATTACTTTTGTTAGTTAGGAGTTAACAAAGAATTTTTTTCTGTGAATAGAGTATCATCTGGAACGCCAAAGTTTTCAATGAAAAACTCTGTTAAAGTTCTTGACAAAAGTACGCTACCCACATCGGTATGGTTACTGTTGACCTACTAAATAACCACGATTATGTATACTTATTCAAGGTATACATAGTGTCTCTTGAATAGGTATGGTAAATAAGTAATATTATTCGTCTCTACTATAAGGAAGAAGTATACTTTAAAACACTTAAATCACAAGGATAAAATTAAATCGACGGAGTTCTTGGAAAGTCAAGCATAAAATATTTGCATGATGTCTCATCCGTTTCATTATTATAATATTATCTTTGATTGTAATGCGACGGTTATTAATTAAAATTCCAATTGTCAAATGGAAAAATGATGTTATTATTTCTTGCGCGGTCGAACTAAGTCATAGTCTGTTCGGTCCGTTCAATACTCAACCCGGACAACTTATAAAGCTTGAGCGCACGTTCCATAGTTTTTAATAATATTTCTATGGAAATCGCTAAGTCGCAGAGACTCGAGTGTTGATATTTGATCGAGTATCTGATGCTATGTGAAAACGCAGACTTTCATTTAAATGGACAGATTTTTAAGATCATGTAAAGGGGGAGGGTTCTTTCCCAAAAAACGATTCTCAAATGGTGTGATTTATCGTGACAGTGCCGATGCGCAATATTGTTATTTTTTTTAATTTTTATATGTAAAAAAAATATTAATGTCGATAAAATCCATTTGGAAAGCCTTATGTTATTATGCCGCGCGCTATAATATTATGTGGCTGCCAATAACGCGTAAAACTATCAGACGCCGGCACCAGAGCCAATGATGTGCAACCAATATGTTTCAGAGAGTGTTAAACCCAATGAGATATTATGCCCAGAGGACTTGCGATTTATCGTGGCAGAAAAATTGCCGATTATTTTTCTCACCTACGACGGCCCTCGAGGAAACGCGTCCGTCATTTGCTTGGATTTTATACCGTCGAGTTTTCATATCCTTTCGAGTGGAATATCTCGAAAAACTTCCAAAGAGACTTTTAATCGAATAATTTTTACCGCGCCGAGTCGACAGGCGATTCATTAAAACTCTAGTACGAGGACCACGCGACCGAGAAGCGTAAAACCAACACTATCATCTAGTTTTTTTTAAGAAGAAAAAAAAAAATATATATATATATTAATTCCTCGCGAGGGAAAGACGTCGATTAAACGTGTAGTAAGCTCAGTTGATTTTCTGTTTCCTTTATCAAACATCTCTTGTAAACGGGAATTATCGATTTTCCCTTATCACCATCTCATTCCCACCTCATCCATCCATACACTATCCCACCCGCTACCCTTCGCGTTTGTGTCACGCGAAATTCCGACAGACCCCTAGCCGTAAATAACTTATGTAAGATATTAGTTTGAAATTACCTTAAAAAAATAAGTTTTCCGTTTTCCCGGATAAATCGAGAAAGTATTTATGGTTCAAAAATGTGTTAGCAATTTTAAAAAACGGTACTTTTTGTAGAAAATACATTAAAACTGACCCAATTGTGATTCTTTCAAGAACAGAAATTTTAGCTTTCAATGTTGTGTGTGTTCGTTTATCTTGAGATCACTGGGCCGATTACTTCTAAAGATCAGAAATCGTATCTTAAAATTACTTTATGATGTTAAAAATTGTAAAACCTCATCTCTTCACCCGTTTAAATTGTTTGAAAATGTGTCGAATTAGTTCCAAACATGTGTGGGATACTTTTTAGATATAGTGCTTTTAATATACCGTAAACAAAATATGACAATATCATTAACCTCTTCGTCACGAAGAGGTAGTAACTTTATTTTATTAGCGTAACTAGTAGAGAGGAGGGGAGTTAGAAAATTTAAGTTTTTTATAACTTCTTCTAACTCTCAGAAAAAGTCAACAACCAATCAGACATAGCAAACGTTTTTAATTTTTACCGAAATTCAGAGAAAGCATTAGTAGTTTTTAAAGGGTCCGAACATTTCTAGCTCCGTCTAGCTAGTGTGACCATACATCATGAATATTTTTTCAATTTTTTAATTTGATCATAAGATTTCAACCATTTTGATTCCTAAAAATAAAAAATAAAAATTGCCACTAGGATACTCACTTTTGAATACATAAGACTCAGCGGCAAACTCATGGCAATGGACAGGAGCCACACGAATATGATTTTCAATATCACTCTCCGTCTGGTTTTGTTGCGACCGAATTTCATTGGATACCTCAAACTCAAGTACCTGTCCACGCTGATGGTGCATAAGTGCATTATGCTAGCTGTGCAGAACAGCACGTCCAAGCATATCCACGCTAAACAGTACACCGGAGCGAATGGGAACTCTCCTGCAAACATACACACAAGCAATTATTATCTTAACACCATTAAACCATTATGGAAGTTATATTTGATCAAATTATGTCTCTTTAAGAGCATAAAATGTGGTCGGAGGTGGAAAGAAACCTAAAGAGATGATGTGTAACAGAAAGATACCGTTATAGTATTTTCTTAATTTAAAATTATTAATTAGCCCGGTTATGTTTTAGTTAGTACTTGACCAAATTCGCCAAAGACAATAAAACATCATAATGTATTAATATAGCAGTTTGATTTGAGCTCTGAATAGGCTGAGATGTTTTTGTGAGTTTTTTTTAGACACAGAAACATCAATTAGGTAATAGCAAAATCCCGCATTGCAAAATAGCGTTATATTTACTTTTGTTCGTCATAGGATTTTTTCATTTAAACTGATAACCGTATTAAATTTAATTGAGTTGTGAAACCGTTTGGCCTATTACAAATTCAAATATGCTGTTTTTTTACAATTATAAATCATAATAATTATGCATTTCCTGGAATCCATTTACAATAAAGTTAATATAATATAATTTGATCTGTTGCGGTTCTATTTTAATCCGAGACTGTAGTTTATAATAATTAAAGAAATTAAGTTACATCATTGGCTGTGTTTAATGAAAACTTAATGAATATCTATTTAGTGGATTTATGAATATATACGCCCTTATATATCTCGTATATAGAGAAACGCAAGAAAAGTTATTGAGTGAAAGTGAAATGTTTAAAAAGAAAAAAAGAGTTAAGTGCAATAAAGTTACAATATTTTGTTATTGTATTAATTATTGTTGTGGAAAACATTTATTCGAGTACAAATAAAGATTATTTTTCATTCACTGTTGAGTGTCAAATCTCAATTGATTGACATAAAGCTTAATTGCTGTTATTTTGGCTACGATGGTTTTGATATGCGGTCTTTATTTTCAAATTGCCTTTAAACGACAGTATATGTGGTTAGCAGTTTTACTTATAGATTAATAACCGTAGTGTGTCTCAACGACCGGAACGCACACAGACCGGACGTCCCTAAGCCATGCTCCGTACTAACTTCACGTGATTTAATGTTTATTCTGTTAAAAGTTATTATCTGTAATACATTATTCGAAAGATACATATGAAACTTTAACAGTTTCGTTGTTGGCCTCGAACTTACCCCATACCCAACAGAGTTGACCTCTATCATAACCTATTTTAGAGGGTAGCCATCTGTAAACGGGGTTTCACTGGGGACGAAATTTTTAAAAGTCGACGTATAAAAGTCAAAGTCAATGTAAGAAAGTATTGTTTTTAATATTTAACTAAAAAATGATAATATTTTATAATAATTGTCTACCTATATTGATTTCATAATGGCATCATTTTTGTTAGGAAACGTAGTATTAATAACGTAAATGCCACACCAATATTTTCAAATTATTTTAATTGATTTTCAAAACATCAAACCAATATTTTACTTAGAACATGTAAATTATCAGAATGATTTCTTGATGTTTAAGGGGATGGTGTTACAATTTCAAATTTAGAAATTAGAAGCACCTAGGGTGTACGATTTGTAATCTAAAGACGTGCTATGGGTATAAGGAAATCGACTATGTAGTTGAAATATTGGCGTGGGTTTAGTCAGAAAAAAAAAACAATAGGTAGCTTTTCAGTAGGTAGAAATATTTTCGACAATGATAGACCTACCCAATCATTAAAAATGTCAAAAAATTGTATAATATTTTCAAAACAGGTTTTCTAGGGATTCATTGTTATACACATAATGTTGTTTAAATATTATCAAACTGTTGGTATATAGTGGGAAATATTTTTAAAAAAAATAACATTATAAACAACTCAAGTTGGATGTAGGTATATATTTTTTAAATGAAAAAATAACGTTTAAAAATTATTACCGCTCAAATATATTGTCTCTGAACCGTTCAAAAGCACATTTAACGTATTACAATAACTTTCCAATCGCTGTAAATGGGATGTAATCGGTATGAAAATGAGACCCTTTGCTTCTATTAAACGTTTGGAAACGAGAAAAGTTTTAACTTTACTGGCGAACGCAATGTATAATTAAATATTCCCTATGACGGCGCTTAACGTTGGACCATAATGAGCATGTCTCTATAATCCATCAGATACATAATTTATCTTCACCGAAAACCGCTGCATCGCCGTCGCTGTTATACCGAAATACGTTATAGCTTGATTGCGAAACGCCATTAAGATGTACCATATTAATTGTTTATATTCAATTTTCGACAGTAATTCCATAGTAATTTAAATTTATCATTATTCCAACGAAGAGACAATAAAGCGTCATCCGTTCCTTGTCGGTCGTTCCCATCCAATCCATTTTCATGATAATATTATTCTATATTGTTCGGTCATAGAATTATTAAAATAAAAGCAAACAAAATAATTGCCGTACATGTCACTTGTGCACGCTCAAAATTAATAACGTCTTTACCCAAAAAATCGTCTTCGTTGCTGCCAAGTTTAGCAAGTCATGTCAGATAATTTTTTTTGTAATGTATTTTTTTCCAGTAACAACTGCAGTCGTCGATCACACACAGCCGACTAGTCGAAAGTCATTGAATGCATTCGAGTCATACAACCTAAAGTCGGGGTTATAAATCTGTTGAATCCAAAATGATCACATTCCTCACATCTGTGTAAGAAGGCCAGGTCAATACGTCACGTCAGCCTCGTCTTGTCAGCAGGACACATTCATACACTTAAAATTTGACCTTAGACGATTACCATAAACTATTGTAATCGAGTTGTGTCGTTATTAAAAAAAAAACTTGCCTATTGCAATAGCTTTTCGACTATACTTATATCCGTTATTACCAACTCACGCATTTTGTAGATTTTTGAAAATATTTGTATTCCTTTGTTTTATTGAACTTTAACCCAGTTATTATTATCAGATATAATAATTGTCTACCAGTACGTGTTCCACACCCGACAGTGCAACACGTGTGTTTTCTTATCGCAATATCGCCTTTACCAAGCTTTCGATAGCACCACTGTCATTCGGAACTCAACAGGTAGTATGTATTTTATATAAAACCTACTCACTGAAATGAATCTTCATAAACCGAGCTCACAGTCCAAATCATCATGCTCTAACAGAATCTCTCCCCTAAATTCTACTGATAGAGGAAATGCTTGTACTTCCAAATCATCTAATGAACAACCAAAAACAAATTCAATTATCAAACCCAAGATGATTTCAACAACATCTTACACATATAGCGTTAACAAAACCGGTTTGCAACAAACCTCACCTCCACCACTACAGACTCACCTAATGTCTCCACCACTGCCGCACACACTTCCCACTCTACAACAAACGCCAATCTCACAACGCAAAATAAACATTCTACGGACACTAATAATAAATTGAACTTAGCACTAGAAACGGCAAACTCGAATACACCGAAAAGCGAACAGGCTATTGTTCTGCACCCGGTCGACGGTCTACTATCTCAAAGACTATATTATTGCTATCGGACAAATAATCCCCCCCCTAGCAATATTACATTTGTATCCAAAATTTCAATGAACCGTACATGCATATTTTTATCCAATGAACAAATTCTAAGCCCTTTACTTGACAAAACAAAGAGCACATTATAAATAAACGAACACGAAATTCCAATACGCAGACTCCTCAATCAAGCCAAAAGAGTTATAATATCCAACGTATGTCCGTCCATCCTTAACCAGGCAATACTAAATGCACTAGGCCACATCAACATCACCCCAATATCCGAAATACATTTCAGTTTTGACATTGCCAAGGCTACGACACAGCTTGGAGGCCCAGAATCATTCATAAGCTTAACCAAATTCTTTCCTAAGGAAACATGTTAGAATTCATAAACAACTTCCTCTGCAACCGCACCTTTCAGGTGAAAACACCCCACTCTCTATCAGACTCCTTCACGCAGGAGAACGGCGTACCCCAAGAGTATACTATTTCAATAACGTTATTCCTAATCGCCATCAATAACATATCCGTAGGTGTCCGCAACCCTAACACTCCTTTGCTATACGCAGACGACTTCACTATCATATGCCGTAGCTCCAGTAGTACCACTATACAACAACTTCTGCAAGACTCAACTAATAAACTCATATCATGGTCTAAAATGTCCGGCTTCCGTTTCGCTCCGAACAAAACAAGTCTTATACTAATCAACCAAAGAAAGAAAAAAGAAATCATTTCAGTAAACATTGGCTCCCACTCTATCATGAATAAAACTCAGGTAAAAATTCTCGGGGCGATTCTAGACTCAAAAGCCTCATGGCTACCTTACATTCGACACATCAAAAAATCCTGTATCCCTAGAATCAACATAATCAAAACACTCTCTCACACCTCCTGGGGAGCTAATACTGGAACCTTACTTAAAATTCATAAAACTCTTATCCTTTCCAAAATCGACTACGGAGCCCCTCTTTTTTCAACATCCAAATCATCCCACATCAAAATATTAGATCCAGTACACAACACCGGGATTCGACTATCCATCGGCGCTTTCCGATCAAGCCCCATCAGCAGCATCCTCAGCATAGCGGGCATTCCCCCCTTGGACACGAGATGGTCAGAACAAACATGCAAAATTGCTGCCAGAATGGCAAGAGCTCCCTCCGGCCTCCACCACTCGCCGAACCACACATTTGACCATGTATACAAAACGTACGAACTAGAAAAAATATTAACAACTGAAATCAGTATATCCCCGCCATGGCTCATCTCAATGAATATTAACCTGGACTTACGCCAACTCCCCAAGAAATCCACCTGCCCTAATCACTTTAAAAACCTTCTCAAGGGAATTTTGTCCTCTACACCTCAGCATGCACTTATTTATACGGATGCCTCTGTCACAGAAAACCACGCTGGGATGGCTATTGTCCACGGAAACACGCAAATCCAATGGAAATTATCCAACAAATGCTCCATCTACACTGCAGAAACCCTGGC